AGGAGATGAGGTGAATGACCTGGGTGTGGTGGGGCACCTCCTGGGCTCTTCAGAGGCATCACCACCATCATGTCCTCCACTGACTTCTCTGTGGGCATGGGATTTTGCCCTATTCTCACTCCAGACCAAGATGGGTGGAGGGTCATTTGGATGCACTAGTCTTGTTCTGCGCCTCTGCCAGGCACAGCCTCAAGACCCACAGAATAGGCGTGGAGAGAGGGAAAGACCTGCTGATGTGGCAAAAGCTCAACTCTCCTACACCTCAGCTGTGTCAGTGCCTAGGATAATCTTTGGCCTATAGTAGCTGCTTAATAAATATTGGCTGAATTAAATTGAATGTATTTGGAATCTGAGAGGAAGGCAGAACCTTGGCCCTTTCCTCTCCATGCCTTGGAGCACTATCATCTTTAGAGTTATAAAGGTATATATGGAATATACCATATAGTTTTCTTTAAATGAGAAAAATGGAGTTCTACAAGACAGCACTAAGAACAATATTAATAATGAGCAGTATCTTTTTTTTTTTTTAAAGATTTTATTTATTTATTTGAGACAGAGAGAATGAGAGACAGAGAGCATGAGAAGGAGGAGGGTCAGAGGGAGAAGCAGACTCCCCGCCGAGCAGGGAGCCCGATGTGGGACTCGATCCCGGGACTCCAGGATCATGACCCGAGCCGAAGGCAGTCGCCCAACCAACTGAGCCACCCAGGTGCCCCTAATGAGCAGTATCTTGTCTTGTTTTATAACAGAGGTGTTCCAGAAAAGTTTGGTATAACTCAAAGTCCATCGACCGTTGTCCTGTGCTATGATTTTAGTTCTTTCTTATCTTCATTTCTAACAACTTTCCAGTGGGCAGGAATCCCAACCCCTTCCTACCCAGATACTCCTGCCCCTCTTAACAATTCATCAGGCATATGTTCTGTGAGGGATCCTTTGATAAAGCAGCGGTTCTTTTCAGATGTGAATTTGAATATTGATAGAGGACTTTTTACATGCCTGTAACCGACCACAGGGGAGGATAGAACTTGAGCTGAGCTGAGGATTCCTAGTGAGCCGGAAGTCCCTGGTCCCTGTGTCTTGAAACATACAGTGTGTCCTGAGGGCGGCTACATCTAGGGTACGGGAAGGGGCCTTCAGAAAGAGCAACTATTTCAGCAGTGCTATGGACTGAATTGTGTCCTCCTAAAATTCATATGTTGAAGCCCTCCCCCACACCAAATGACTATATTTGGAGATAATTAAGGTTAAATAAGGCCATAAGGGTGGGGTTCTGACCCAGGAGGATTAGTGTCCTCCTCTCTCTCTTTCCCGACCATGCGAGGACACAGTGAGAAGGCAGACATCTGCATGCGGGGAAGAGAGGCCACATTAGGAACCAAATTGGCACCTTGATCTTGGACTTCCAGCCTCCTTCTGTTGTTTAAGCTCCCGAGTCTATGGTATTTTGTTTTGGCAACCTGAGCTGACCAACACAAGCAGCAAAGCTGCAGTTGGCTTCTGAAGTTTGCCATGAATTTGGCATTATCACTTCCAAAGGACCTTCATCTTATCAATGCTGGTCTTGAATGACATCGGGCAGAACGGGGCTCTTTTTTGCTTGGCCTTTCCTCAAATTCTTTCTCCCACCTTTCTTATTTAAGGACACACAGCTCCATAGACATAGGCCCTTTCGGGCTGTCAAAGGGAAGTGTTGTCTCTCCATCTGTTTTCCCTCCCTCCTTGCTCAGCTTCTCTACTTCTTTCCACGAGAGTCAACCATGTATTAAGCGCATAGCAGAGATGGTGCCAGGGACACAATGATGCTTTGATGTATGGGTAACATGCCGTGTTTTTGGCCTACAATGACAAAATAGGTGCTGAGGCTCTTCCCCAACAAATGGCAAACTACCCTTACTTCCTAGCAGGAAGCCCGGGCCCATGCCGTGGTTTCAGACTCAGGAAGGACATCTGTGATGGGAGAGCTCAAAAAAGCAGATGGTTGTTTGAGTTGCTAGGAAACTGGGTTGATTATTTATTTGGAAAAAAAAATGCAGCATATATTTATATATGTAGAAATTCTCAGTTATCTTTTTAAAAAAATTGGTTAATGCATGGCAGTGAGTATACACCATACTCTGCCACTTGAATAAATAATTGAGTTGGACATTTTCTTGTGATTCCTTGTCTCTCCTCAGGTTGGCCCTCTGTTCACCTTGTGCTCAGTCAGGGAATAGTCTGGTGACAGTTGAAGAGCTCAACCATGAGAGAAATGTCAAAATTCCCACAGATTTAAAAAAATATATATATATACTTTTTAATGGGGAAGGGGAAAAAGAAATCAAAGATGGCACTAAGTACCTTCTGTTTCCTCATAAATGTCAGGTCGGGGTCCAAACAACTTATTTTTAACAGAGCAAACTGCTGACCTGTCTCCAGAGAATCAGAGTTTTCGCTGGAATGCTCAGGAGCAGGGCTGAGGGCAGGGGCGGGAGAGAGGAAAGCTTGATGTCCCTGGCAGATGAGCTACCACACCAATTTAGATTTTGGAAGCCTTGGAGCAATTAGCAGATCACCGTGCCATCTGTAGGCACTATTTGACTGGCCTGGCCACCTGCTGCGGAGGGTTGGTTTCATTTGACAAGGAGCAAATTAGATTAGAAGGTCGGAGAGCAGTGGAGACTGTTACTAGCCTCCTGTATGCTGAGGGTCTACAACAGGCCAGCCATTGTGCACGGATGTTGTCTAAGCTTCGTACCAAGATTAGTACTATGAAACCATCATATAGCAATACATCTTATTATCTTGCCCATTTTCCGATGAGAAAATAGGCTCGGAAATGGACTTGCCCAAGGCTGTGTGGCTGCTAATGAACAAAGCTGGGATGAGTGCATCCGTCTGCACTTTCCTCTTCTGCCAAATTGCCACTGTAAATAAGATGAATCGCCTATACTCTAAAGGGGCACAAAATGAATGGAAGTCCTGTTTTTCTTATTTTCTGTAGTTGGCAGACCTGATGGAAACAAGACACACTTTTATAAGTGCAAGAATATTTGCAGACAATAGACACAATTGCTGAGTTGCAGAATATAAGGACATAGGTCCTGGTGGAAGGGATACAGAGCATGGGATTGATAAGAAGTCCTGTAAATCTAGGATGATAGAATCTTTGGGTCTTGAGGACTAAAGGCCATGAGGTCACACCCAACAGACTTAAATTCCATGGAGGCAGAGACTTTATCTTCTTCACTACTAGAAAATGGTGCCAGATCCATAGCAGATGTTCAAAAATTAATTAAAAAATGAATGAGTATATGAATATATATGGATCTCCTAGCTGCTTTTCCAGTTCTCTCTATAGCATTTCATTTGCATGACTGTCATTTACTGCCACGTACTGACCTAGTGCTCAGCCTTTCCATGATTGCGGTGCATTTTGAAATACTAGAATATTTGGCCGTGCGCTTGAAAGGATTAAATGTTTTAAAGCCACACTCAACAAGTTAATAATAGTTAATACACAAGTACTATTATAGCACAAGCACAATAAAAACTCACAATGTTTGAATAAACATCCACAGTTTCTAGACAATTTACTTATTCACTATGCAGACATTCTTGGTTACACAGTTTCCTGGTGCAGTTCGTCTTCCATTATAGAGGTCAAAGTAGAGGCCAAAGTAGAGACACCTACTTTCCCAGACTCTTTTGTAGCTAGGGTATGACCATATGATTCCATATTGGCCATGGGACTTGAGGGACATGTGACTCTAAGAAAAGAGACCCAATTGAAATTCTTTGCTGAACATTATTATGTCTACCTGGGATGACTGGAACTGTGGTAGCCATTTTGCATCCCAGGGAATAGATGCTTAAAGACTAAGCTGGTGGGCTTGGGTTTGAAGATTGGAAAGATGGAAGAGTCTGGGATTAAATGATGTAATTGAGCTGCTGGACCAATCTTTGTCCCACCTTCCTTGAGAACTTTTGTTATGCAATACAATAAATGTTCTTATATGCTACCCATTTTAGTTGGGTATTATGTTATTAGCAGATAAACGTATCCTCAAGTACTCTTGCTGTTCAAGTAGCACTACTGTGGCCCAGTAGCACTTTCTTTTTTTTTTTTTTTTAAGATTTATTTATTTATTTTTGACAGAGAGAGAGACAGCGACAGAGGGAACACAAGCAGGGGGAGTGGGAGAGGGGGAGGCAGGCTTCCCGCTGAGCAGGGAGCCCGATGCGGGGCTTGATCCCAGGCCCCTGGGACCATGACCTGAGCCGAAGGCGGACGCTTAATGACTGAGCCACCCCGGCTCCCCAGCCAGTAGCACTTTCTTATACACTTATCAAATACATTTCTTACATTTTCTAGTAAGGTGCGATTTTTCTTTGGTGTGAGCTTGGCATTCATTGTTCCCTGCTCTACGCAATATTGTCTCTCCACTCAGCTCAGTGATTTAGCTGAGGAACATAACTGTATTATACTCAGCGTAGCAAATGTTCCTTTTAAACATTGTTCACAATTTGGCAGTATAGCTGTGAAGTGCTTTGGGTATATCAGCGTATTGTGGCCGACTGGTTGGGAAACACCACTGTCTTGAAATGCTCTGGCTTAGTAGATTGCATTTTCTTAGAGGGCTGGAGAATAATTTATTGATCATTACATCCCCACGGCTTAGCCACTGTGTAATCCTAATAAGGATTAATATACATGGAATGCTTATTTTGCGTTGGGCATGGTTTTAATTATTTTGGATATATTACCTCATTTAACTTAAAAATATCTAAAGAGATGGTGACTCAGGATATGGACCAGGCAGGATGGCTCAGAGCTTGTTCTTGAGCCCATTATACTCCACCTTTCACCAACAGAAGCTTCCAAATAAATGTAGGCTGAATTGAACAGAACTGAAATGGCTCCCTGACATCATGCTCTCCGTGTAATAGGCACGCAGTAACAATTTGTTGTGTGTGGTCCAGCCTCTGCTCAATTACTCGGGGTAAACTGGGGAAGAGTCTCTGGAGAGGCTGTGCTTTGAGCAGGGCTTTGAAGGAGACAGCTGCTTGTGGGCACACTAGAGCCATTTCCTTCGGGGTCACCTGCTCAGGTTCAGCCCAGGACTGACTCAGCAGACAACGATATCTGTGTGGCAGACCAAGGGGAAAAAGTGGTGACTTTAGCCTAATGCTGGGAAAAGAACCTCTTTGGTAAGTCTAAATTCTCCCCTGGCAGCCCGAGTGGACCACAGGAAGATTTAGATGGTTCTCCCTGTTGCTTAGTGTTGGGATTTCCCTGAAGTCAACGGAAGTCTGTTCTGGCTTTCTCTGCCCACACCCGAAGGCTTGGAGAGAGCTGTGGGTGAGGGAAGGGAATGAGAGAGGTGCTCTCCTAGCGTACCCCATTCATAACATCAAGGGGGGATGGTGGCAGGGGATGTGGGTTCAGGGTCCAGCAACATGAGGGTATAGTTAGGGATAGGGAAGTAGTTAGCTCATCATACTATATTTTATGATGCTATATAGATTACATATAGAGATAAAGATATTAAAGATACTATATAGAATTAAAGATATCATTTATATCTATAATATATATTTATAATCTACAATCTATAATATGATCTATAGCTATATATAGATAAGTAGATAATATATTATACATTATATGCTGTTATATATATATTTAGTTGAGGAGGTTTTGTTAGAAATGGGTTGGAGTCCCACAGTGGTAAATGAGAAAACCCATGGTTGCTATAATAATGAGATGTGTTACTGCCTACCAGTCTTGCCCATGCCTGAGAAGTAGAAGTTGTTTTGTAAAATCTCATTTTTGTCCTTAGAGGGTGGGGGTTTACTAGCTGTCATATGGGACAAGCCAACAGGATGCCTCTTCCGTGGCTTGAACGTGGGCATGAGTAAGCCCCCTGGGGTCCTCTCACTCACTCTCCATTTATCATGACCTCCTCAGTCCTAAGCAGCTATGATAGGCTTTCCATCCTATACATTGCTGGAATGATTTAGCACCTCTGAAATATGCGTCAGTGGATTTAGCCATTGGCAATAACCATCCGAGTTAGTAGGTGATTGTGCTCAGAGCACTCACGTGGATGGAGCTGTTTCCCCAGGACCCACGGGCCATTTCTATTTCCAACCCTCAGCCCAGTCCACCTGCCCCTGGGGACCGTGTGGGCACAGGTGATTCCAGGTGCTGACCAGCAGCCCTCCTCGAGGCCTTCCCCGGCCGGCTATAGTTTCCCCACCATGTGACCACAGCCTCTTGCTGTCTCGAGCTGATAACAGGACCATAAATCTCCCTTCTGGCTGCAGCTTGACACCTGAAACCTCAGCCCAAGCCTGATGTGAGAAAACAAGATAAGACATCAGGACGGGTTATTTTCAAGTTATCCAAGGAGGTAGGGGAATCGTGGTGGGTAACAGGCAGAGATAGCATTCCTCCAGGTGCTGTCTGCCGTGCCATGTAAATCTCCATGAGTGAGACAAATGGCGTTACCTGTTGATAGCATCTACCTGCTGGCCCTACTTCAGTTTTTGAAACCTGTCAGCACTTCTGTGGGTGCTACTCCCTGCAATAATATAATGGGCTTTGGCAGAATCAGAGAACAAGCTTGGGGCTGATGTGACCCTGCAGAGAGCTGGGGGTTGATAGCTTACCACTACCTACAAGATGCAGTCCCCATGGGTTGATTTAGCTTTCAAGGCTCCCTACAATCTGGCCGCTTCTCTACCACATCCCGAGACAAGCTTCTAGCCGTGAGTGCTCTCCATCATGGTGTTTGCTGTCTCTGATGGCTGAGCTGTTCAGGTAGAGGCTAATTGACTACTTTTCAGGGTATCATTGAGAGTTCACATATAAAAAGGGGATGTTGAGCTGTTCAACTTGTAAGAAGCTCTTTCCTTATGAGCTTCTATGACTTAATCTTATGGTGTAGAACTCTTGAGGGCTCCCAAAGCCCTTCTCGATGGGGGTTCAGTAAGAGAATTAAGCTGTATGTGAAAGGCATCCATTGTATGTCGTGATTCAACTTCTTTCCTCTGCATTTGAAGTAGAACTAATTATGTACTATCTTTGGGAGCGAGGAAATAGTCATCCCAACACTTTCTGGGTTCTGTGGTTCATAGGGGAAACCCTGATTGAGAATGTCTTTAAGGGAAAAGGCAAAGCCTTAACTCAAAAAAGGGATTATTACCAAGGATAGAACTGCTTGTAAGGTGTATGGGATGGGTGGACAGAGTAAAACTATTTTTAGGCTGTACATTATCTCATTCTCTGGAACACAAACAACACATGCACAGTTTGGTGATCTTGGTCAATGATGAAATATGGCCGATAGGACCATAGGCCTCCCTGTGGGCTTGGTAACTGATGACGTCTGTCAGATACGGAAGTAACCAAAAAAGGTTTACTAAACTCCAGGTCATGTCATCTTCTCACATTAATGCTTAATACTTATTCCTCTCACTGCTGGTCTAGCCTGTCATGACAAATGGTATGATGAGCTTCAGAGAGGGAAGCCCATGGTGCGCCTCCCAGCAGGACTGCACCTTGAAGTAATTTTGATGTCTTCATCTCAATTAGGTTAAGCCCGCAAAAATAGTGTCAAAGGGGAGCACACCCAGAATGCACTGGGAGATCATGATAAACACTCTTGATGCTTTGCAGCTGGGCCCATCATCTGCGCATTTCACAATAAAATTTTATGATGCATCCAGACACCCAGCTGCTTGTGTTCATGGGGACAGCATTTCCTCTGCTACACCATTCAGAACTGCCCCACCTGGGACTCATTTCCCTTTTCCACCAACCTTTTTCAAATGACAATGAAACTTCATTATCACACCGCTCCTGGGACAGAATTTGAGGTATGTCATGTCCAAAAAAATGTTCTATAGAGGCGACTTCATTTTATTGGACATAGAAAAACTATTCCGTAGTCCCCAGTAAGCCATAGGGCTATTCAGAACTTTGGGAAACATTTTAGAAGGGGCCACTCCAAAAACCCTAACCCTCTTCCAGTGGGTAGAGTCCCCAGATTCTCATGCACTATGTGGCATAGTGGTTAAGAGAGTGGGCTTTGAAGTGAAACATACCTGCCTTCATACCTCAGCTCACTGCTTATTATGAACTTGGTTTCCTCACTTATATAGTAGGAATAACTATACATAACTGACCGAGAGGCTGTGTGTGAAGCACCTAGTGCTGTGCGGGGCACGCACTAACGCTCAGTAAACCATGCCTGTTGCCATTACATATTGATGATGACACTGCATTCTAGGCATTAAACATGAATGGGGATCTAGTCCAACTTTCTACCTAATACACAGCATCCCATCCCAGCGAAGAATTCTCAAAGCGAAGGATTTATATTTTTGCATTGGGAGCATTCACAGTGAATTAATTCAACCATGCCATCCTGCCCATCTTAAGGCACAATCCTACCCCAGGTCATTGCACCCATTGTAAGAGCTGCTGTTTCCTGGTATTTCCATTTTATAGCTTCCCCTGCAGAGGTGGAGAGAGATGGTTGCCCCCCCACCCGTTTTTGCATTTAATTGTTAATTTTTCAGGCTGTACATGAATATTTTCTCCTTGTAAAAACTATAATATTACACATCTGGCTGCACTCTGTCTTGCTCGGTACCTTGGGTCCTCTGATCCTCTCTCTTTTCCTCTACCCTCAACCCCAAGGTAACCACGTTCAGTGGATTGATGGGTACCTTTCCCCACATTTCCCAATCGATTTACATGCTTAGTGTTGTGTTCATGGCAAATATCCAGGTTGTGTGTGCGTTTGAGTATGTGCTTTAAGCACATGGGTGCCTGCCATGTTATTTACATTTGCTTCTTCTTTTTTTTTTTTAAACTTAATTTGTCTTAGAGACCTACTCATGCTGGTGGAAAGAGTTTAGCTGCACTTCCTCTGCTGTCTGCAACCAATGTTAGTTAGTATGGGCCTATCGGTTTATTGTGCCCCGTTGTTGGGCATTTTGTTCATTTCCAGTTTTTCAGTATTATAAAAAACACTGCAGTTGACAGGCTTGTGCCTGCTTTATTACTTTTATTATTATCTTATTCACACATGGGTTTTCCAAGCGAGAAGTAGAATACTAAGGTGTAGGCTAAGATCATTTCAAATTCTGACAGATGCTGCCCAATTGTTTTCCAAAGTTGCTTCACCAATTTTACTCCCATTTTTGTTTTCCATATTTAAGGGAAATATAGCTTGCAAAAGAGGTCTTGAATTAGGCCAGGTGGAAGTTACAGCTGGTGCTCACTCAATCACAGGCCACGCCCCTTGGCATCTACCCTCCATCTACTGACTTATGGTTAGTGGATTGGCTGACAGTCAAAAGTATTATTGGTTGACTGGGACAGGAATGAAGATCCAGGAAAGAAAATCCTTCCTCAGCTCCAGACTATCTGAACCCACAGTATCCTCAAGTCTTGCAATTGTGTTTTGGTTGACTTGGAGGATTAAGAGGATGGGGGAATACATGCCCAGAAAACCCTAGGATGCTGGGGTCTAACCCTGGGGCTCTAGCCCTGCCTTGGAACTCTGGGAGGTTGTGAAGAAAGTGTGGAGAGAAGCCAGTCATCGCGATTCCCATTGATCTGTGGCTAAACAAACACAGGACCAGAAATCAAATGTCAGGGTCCCAGAAGTGTTGTCAGGTTGTGTCTGGGATGAGAAACTAGTTAGGCTAAACCTCCTTTGTGGGGCAGGAATTCTTTTATCAAAGGTACAGACTTATTCTTACATCCTTTTGCCTGGTTCTTCTGGTGACAACTCAGGGATTATAAAATTGCGATATTCTTGAAACTCTGCTTCTCCTCCTTTCTACTCATTAAGTACTTCCCCAGCATCTGCTCTGTCCCAGGTGCTGTGATCAGTGCTGGGAAACCAGTGGTGAACAACCAACAGTCTGGCTCTCACAGAGCTTGTGGTCTGATGGGGAAGAGGAGGGTGCTGGCATCAGGATGATGCAGTGTGATGTTGTAGGTATCATGGGTAAGAGGTGCTTCTCTAAGGATGCGGGACATCACTCTTTCCTGTCCCTGAGAGCTGGGCTGATTTGAATGTTTCTATCCAGTCTTTCTGAAAATGCAATGGACCTGAAGCCCTGTCAGTCTCCGACCCAGCAGGGCATTGAGCCTTGGAGGGGGCGGGCAGCAGATCAGGGGGAGATTCAGTCCTCCTGCCAGCATACGTAGTCCGTGACACCATCGCACTTGGAGTCTGGGCAGAAGATGCTACACAGCAGGGTTGAGAGTTGTCATGGCACTTGAGCCCTGAGGAAACCCAAAGGGCATTTCTAGCTAGGGCAACATCCAGAGGGGCCCCACAGTTGCCATTTGAGGGAAATTTCCTGCACTATCTCATCATGGCTAGAAATGCAGTCTCCACTGAAAGGGTTGTAACCCCTCCTAGGTCAGAACAGGAGTTCTATGGATTCTCCTGCCAATACCAAGAGTGGCTCTGCACCACACAGAGTAGCAAAGGAGACCACCCAGCTAGGAAAGTCCCAGCGCCCACATGGGCAGCGTGGATCGTCATGCCAACCTGGCAGCTCTAAACCTTGGATCGAATGCAGAATATCGGGTCACCCCTCCTCTTAGCCTTGATTTCTTTCCCCAAAGTTCTGATATGTCTAGCTTTGCTTTTCACATCTTACTGAAATTATGAAAAGCCCAGAACTGTGAGTCACTCAAATTGGGGATCATTAGAAAAAGGAGACTTGTGTTGGGGCAAAGAAAAGAGACATCATGCCAGATGCAGAGCAGGAGAGAGAGGCTTCGGAAGGGGACTTTGGCATGAAGGACTCTGTGCGGGGGAGTCTTTATACGTGTGTGTGTGTGTGTGTGTGTGTGTAAGAGGGGTAGAGGGAGGTGGGGAGTTAAAGGCATCTAAGCAGAGAGCTGAGCAGATTATTTAGATAACGGTTAGTGAAAGCTTCTTCTGTCAAGCTCCAACGTTCCTGTGTTCCTTCTGAAGCAGGCCGAACAACTTGGAACCATAAAACCAGAAAGGCATTGGACAGTTGGATGAAGGACTTGGTACAGAACAGGTACCTCTTGGTATGTGAATTATTCAGAACAAAGCAAAATGTATCTAGAAGCATCTCATTGAAATGCTGAGAAAAGAATACCAGGAAAAGGATCTGGTTCAGGGATTCTCAACCAGAGGCAGTTTCTCCCCTGGGGACATTTGGGAATGTCTGAAGACATTTTTGGTGGTCACAACTGAGGTGAAAGCTACTGGCATCTAGGGGTGCGTGGGTGGCTCAGTTGGTTACGCATCCAACTCTTGATTTCAGCTCAGGTCATGATCTCAGGGTCCCCCGCTCTGTGGGGAGTCCGCTTCTCAACCTCTCACACTGCCTCCCCCCTGCAACATGCTCTCTCTCTAAAATAAATAAATAAATCTTAAAAAAAAACCAACCCAACTACCGGCATCTAGCGGATGGAGACCACAGATGCTGCTAAACATCATTCAGCACACAGGACAGCCCCTCCCCAAATAAGAATGATCTGGCCCCAAATGCTAATAGTGCTGAGTTGGAGAAACCATGGTCTAGTGAGGAAAGGATGGCAAATACATATTTAATTTTGTGGTACTAATGATTATTTCAAAATAGTTAAAAATTTAAATTGTGTATTTACTTTGCTGTTTTTGTGTTCATTAAATATGAAAATATTTAGGAGAGTTTTTTTTTTTTTCCTTTAAGTTCTTTTGGAACTTCTGTTTTCCAGCACAACTGTTTCTAATAAGATCTTCAATTCTTCAGTTCACATACCCTGGGGCTTTCAAGAGTTGGTTAAGCGACTGCCTTCGGCTCGGGTCATGATCCTGGAGTCCCGGGATCGAGTCCCGCATCGGGCTCCCTGCTCGGCGGGGGGTCTGCTTCGTCCTCTGACCCTATCCCCTCTCATGTGTTCTCTCTCTCTCATTCTCTCTCTCTCAAATAAATAAATAAAATCTTTAAAAAAAAAGAATTTAATTCTTGCAATTGATAAAGGACTACTGGATGGCCACTGTTGGTTAAAGAATGAAAACTGTTGTTTGAAACAATGTGGTCAAAATTTGGGAGGTGGCGTCTACACATCCATCCAGCGAAAGGATTTTCCTGGGAATTCAGGTTGCCAGTATTGTGACACGATATAATCAGAGAATAATCAGGTTTGTCTTGTGCCAGGGGTGTGACTGTGTGAAACCAAGTATGTGTAGGTATTAAGGCTCTGAGAAAAGATTTTTGTAGGACATTTCCCACCTCCTCCCGTATTTTATATAACAAATTTCTAAACATCGCTCGAAAGAATTTTGCAGTGAACACCACCAAGATTATACAGTTAACTTGTGCTGTGTTTGTTTATACATATCAACCTACCTCCCCGTGTCTCCATTTATCCATAAATCTACCTTCTATTTTGATACATTTCAAAGTCCTCCATTTCATCAGTTACTCCTAAATACTTTACTTTGCATTCATGAACTAGAAAGCAGTGTCTGATTAGGGTGTTTTTTTTTTTTTAAGTGGAGGGTGAATTCTACACACAAAGGTGCAGATCTCTGGGTGTAATTTTCAATCAATTTTGACAAATTGATACACCTCTGTAACCCAAACCCCTATCAAGGTGTAGAATATTACCATCAGTCCAGAAAGTTCCCTCATGCTCCTTCTCTATAAGTCTCTGCCTCCTGGAACACTGGTCTGACTTTTTTCCTTTTTTGGTTGGTTTTGTCTACTCTTGCGAAGCATTCTTGGCAAACCAGGGATGAATTCTGGCTCTCCCTCCAAATCAAGTTGGCCAAGCATGTCAGCACCCCCAAATGGGAGTCCGTCCCCACCTGGCTCTTTTCCTCGACTCACCGCTGTCCTAGATGTTCGTTAGGCACCATCTCAGAAACCACTGGCTACATGTCTCCTGTCCAACTGGGTAGCTGCTTTGCATCCACTCTTGCTTTCCTCCCTGTGCTCATGGGAATAGAGCTGACTGATAAGTGACAAAATAGATGTTATTATTTGAATCACTCTTGGATGATCCTTCTATTACTTGTAATCAAATACAGACTCTCTATAGCTTATAGGCAGAAATTAAAATTATTTGGAATTAAATACAAGGCCCATCAAGATCATATGCCTGCCTCCTTTTCCAGTCTCATCTCTTATCAGCTCTTCCCAAGCCGCCTATATTCTGGCTATACTCAAATACTGGTAATTACCCTAAAATGCTAAGCTCTTTGCTGGAATACCATCTTTCCCTTGTTTGCTTTGGTAATTCCAACATAGTCTTCAAAATTAATCTCACCTAGTTCTAGAAGCCTTGGCGTATCTCCTCAGCCACTTCTCCTAGACCTTATGCATTTAGAGGTGGCTGCTGTTATGAGACAGGTATATCCTTATAGAACTTTATCAATGCATTTATATGTAAAATAGGAATAACATATTTGTAGAAATCATAACTGTCATAATATTCTATCTATTAATCTTCAATCAAGTATTTGCATAGTCTCCAACTCACAGACCACATAATCCCTCCCCTAGTTTCTTTCCCTCCGTCTTTGGGATGTGGTTTGGGTATGGCTTGCATGGAAGAACTATAGGGATTAGAGGTTCCTGTAGTTTGCTATTTTTATAGGAAATTCAATTCTTGTTCTTGGCCCCAAGTGTATTTCTCGCCCTGTATTGTCTGACTTCTTGAAGCTGTAGAATGTGCTAACAAATATACGGAATCACCAGGTCCCAGTCAATGACCTTGAACGGGCCTGCCCTGGGCTGAGGTATGCCAGTCCCAAGGAAGTGGATGATTCTGAAAGGCTTAGGGCGAGGTCCTGCCATGCGCTACGTGGCTGGCAAAGCTGCCTCCTGAGTTGCTGTCCCTCTTCTTGGCCTGACCATTAGACCAGGAGCCCCATAACCGTCCCCTCATACCGGCTCTGCCTGATTCATGTTCACATGTTTCCAAAAGCCATTTTACCATCTAGTCTCTGAAAATTTCTCTTGAGATAAAAACAGATGCTCAGAAACAAATTTTTCTCCCCTGTTTTATTATATTATTATATTTAAGGGACAAACTGCTTTGGGCATGAAGATACTGCTATCTCCATCTGTTTACATCATTTAATTGCCTGCCAAAAATTTATACGCTAACATGATTTTAATGGGCAAAACTAAAGCTATCATTTCCTTTCACACAGGCAAGTCAGGGATGTGCATTTTCCACTGTCCCTACTCCATGCCTCCGTCACATGAACCCTGCCTAAGAGTTCTCTCTTGTGCTCTGGAGGGAAAACTATTTTAAAATATTTTTTTTATAGATGAGTGGGGCTTAAGGGAAGCTAAGTTGCCTCAGAGCTCTGGTTTGATTTTCTTCTTGAGCTTGCTTTCTTACTTGGAAGATTCCTCAGAAACAACTTTAGAAATATGAGCACCTAAAATTATGCTTAAATCTCTTTTATAAATTCCTGAAATTACTGAGATGATAAGGGGCTAGAGGAAGCATCCCTGCTGGGTGATGTGTTGTCCTCATCTTCTTCCTGTCAAATGACTGAGTTCTAATCTAATATGGTGCCATCTCTGGGAGCCATAAAGTGTCAAGTTCTAGAAGACCCCCATAGTTTGTTTGTGTCTACAGTGAAATAGAATTTCTTTATTTAAAGCTCACCCAAGTATTTGCCAAGTATTTCTTTAAACACAAACCCTTAAACTATTGTTAGCTTTCTGCCATGCTTTGAGTGTCAGAAGATGAGAACCTCTTCCAGGGAACGCTCCCTGAAGAATCTCAACCTCAGTTGATTCCGTATGTCATAGCTCCAGTGGATACAGACTCAAAGTATGCTAGGTTCTCAACCACTGGACTTGAAGAGCCAACAGAGGATGTTGGAACTAGGAAGGGGGACTTGAACTGGAATTCTAGCAAGGACAAGAGAAGACCAAACTGGAGTACATATCTGGGACACCAGGCACAGGAATGATTCAGTCAATGGTCAATGTGGTTGTCAGGGCAACTAAGCACTATGGTTCTGTCTGACATCAGATGCTGGAATATTGGGATGCTGGAACTCAGTACTAAAATATTGGCTTTTCGAGTGAGACTGCATCTCATGGCAGGATCTCAGTAGACCTGAGAGCTCCTATGTTGGAGGAGGCAAAGGAAGAGGGATGCAGTCTCCAGGGGTGGGGTATCAGAATGGGTCAGTAGTTTGGTGGTGATGGTGGGGTGCAGGTGGGGGGTCCAATCACTTCATGGACTAGAAGACTGGTTTCAAAGGAGCACTCTGTAGAGGGATTGCTCAAGAGCAAAATGAAGAAATGTTTACTAAGACATTTGGTTTATTTTAAGTAATATTTTTCCCAATTAAAACATTAAAATACAAACATATCAGTGTATATAATTTGGAAAAAAAACTCATAGAAAAACACAGAGAGGTTCCAGGGTTGGCCTGGGCTGGCAGCGGCATAATAAAGCCTGGGGTGAGGCTGCGGGACTGACCTGCTGACCGCTGCTGGCCTCTTCCTGGGAGGAAGCCCAGCAAGTGCTTCCCTCTCACTTGGGCTGGTCTGGGTGCCGGGGAGTTGGATTGGGAGCAGCTCTGCTGGTGTCACCTGCTCTGGGGCCGAGATCTGGTGATTTTGAAGAGACGCCTGAACAGCCAAGATGAAAACCCCTGCTTCCTTTACCTGACATATGACACTAACGCAGTGAGCACAAAATTATTTTCTACAAGAAATATTTCACATTGGCGTCCTCCAGTCACGCTTGTAAAATAAATTTGCTCTCCTTTGGTGAAAAGCAGTGTGTGTTCCTCAATAAAGTTATGGTGCAGGTTGCAGCAGATTCCCCAGCTCTATGACCGAGGATCAACTTCCAGAGGGTCCAAACTATCATGGAATCATGGGGTCAAACTGGCGCTCAGCAGTTGATGAATATGGCTCCATTTTAGGAGCAGCATCGTATTCCCATTGGAGAGCGGCTTCAGTCAGTTTTGGGAAATATTGGACACAGATGTATGATTGATCTACAATCATCCTGTTCTTCAGGAGCCTTGGACAAGTCACCCTCCACGTCTTTTCCTTTCAGAACTGAATTGACATCCAGAACTGTGACTGAAGCCTTCAATGCTTGCATTGGGAAAAGTCCGCAGTTACCGATGGAGGAAATATATGTCAGATTGTGTAAAATTGTACCCTCAAACCATTCTCTTCTTGAGAGTGACCTTAAAAATGCAGTTTCTTTTCTCTTGCCAAAGAAGTGACAACTCAAATATACCTAACTGAGTTGCTGCTTTTTCTCCAGAGTTTAAGTAGTCTTCGAGTTAAACATCTTTGCATGGGACAGTGTGATTCCAAAGAAAGACTTTCTTTTTTTTTTTTTTTAAAGATTTTATTTATTTATTTGAGAGAGAGAGAATGAGAGAGAAAGAGAGAGAGAGAACACATGAGAGGGGATAGGGTCAGAGGACGAAGCAGACTCCCCGCCAAGCAGGGAGCCCGATGTGGGACTCGATCCCGGGACTCCAGGATCACGACCTGAGCCGAAGGCAGTCGCTTAACCAACTGAGCCACCCAGGCACCCAAAGAAAGACTTTCAAATGGAGAAAGGTAAGTGCTTAACCTGGACAGGGTGGTACAGGTACTTATTACATGCTTATTACAAAGCCAAAGCCCCCAAAGATCAAAGCAACTGTTTTTAATGTCATTTGAAGATCATCATCTTACTTACGTAAAGTGACCTCAGTGTTCATTTTAACTGTACCTGTTACTGTAAATCTAGTGCTGTGCACTACGATGAATAGGATAGGGTCATAAATTATTTTTGTTTGCAGTATTTTTTACTTTTATTCACTTTCATTTTTGTTTAAGTGTTTCAACTTTTCAAGGATTTCTGTTTTAAAAGAGATTTATTTATTTATTTTAGAGAGAGGAGGACAGAGAGAGAGAGAGAGTGAGTGAGTGGGGGGAAGTGGGGAGGGAGAT